CCTGCTGAGGTCCCTCCCAACCTGAATTATCTTGTGATCCTACGAATGCCCATTAATGGTTGGAGTGAGTTAGCGCTGCTCCTGGAGACTACTCTGCAGTGTGAAACAAAGCATAAGTGGGGCTGGTTAGGACGTTAGCTTCTGAAATGCACTTCTTATTCCAAATGAATGCTAATGTAGATGCATCCTATGGGAAGTCTGCTTTTCTTTTTCATTGATGAGGAACTGAGTCCTCTCAAAAAAAAAAAAATCTTGGCATCTCTCTTTCTGTCTAATTCTGCAGTTTGTTGTTTTTCTTTTATATTTCTTCTCATTTCTGTTTCTGTACCTATTTATCATCTTTTTGTGTCTTGGCTGTTCTTTAAAGACATATATATTAAGCTGTCTGGCCTACTCCTTCACTTCTATGGCATTATCTCAATCGTGCCCTTTCACAGCTCTCTCTGCAGTGCTCTGTTGTAAATCCCTTGAGTAGGAACTTCAGCTGCTGTTATATTGGGTTGAGCCTGTGGCTGTAGTTAAGATACTGTCTTTTCATATACTGTAGAATTTTCCTGTCTTAAATTTTCTGCGCTATCCAATTGAAAAACTGCTTCATCCTGTTTTGTAATGCTGGTGGGTTATTTTCTATCTCTGTTCTCTTTGACTCTTCCAAAGGTAAAATTTGAAAAGGATCACAGTTTTAGCAGAAAACTAAGAAACCAACTCTGATTCCAAAGAGCAAGGAATGTACAACTAAACTAATATCTCCCTCTGGAATATGATAGCCTCCTTTCTGATATCCTTTTATCTTTCCTGAAGCCTGTATTACTGGCATTCTGCTTGGGAAAAGTTAATTCATTGACTGTTTTTTGACTTCTTTTTTTCCCCTTTTCACTTTTCTTTTTGCCTTTCATAAACGTACCTAAGCTCATATTTGAAGACAATAACCCATCTAGCTACTGTCTTTCGTATTGCTGGAATTCTGGAAGAAGCCAGACGCGTTTGCCGTGTACCACCACCGTGTATGCTGGCTGCTGGGTTCTCGTGCTCTCCGGAGGCGTGCTCTGGCAGTGCAGCTCTCAGGGCTGCCGTAACAGTTCCTTACGGAAGCTCTTCTCTGAGTTACGAATGGGTCCCTGTCCTGTGCGTTTCACAACCCCCTCTTCCTTAGCTTTCTCCCTGTTCTGGTGATGGTGTGGGAGGCTCCTACAGCTGCTTCAAGTTCTGCTTCCTTCTACTAGGAAAGTACCGGCTCCAGTTTCTGCAGGTTCTCTTTGAAGAGGAGCTGTGTTTCTAAGTCTGTTGCTTTTAGTATCATTTTTCACCTGCCTTCATGACTTTCTTTTTTCCTTTATGTTTTTCTTTCCCCTAAAGCTTGCATGCTGTTGAAATCTAACTGGTCTGATGTTCTACAGATAATATTTTTCAAATAGATCCATCAGTATTCATTCGTGTTTGTCAGCTGTGTCATGGCATCACCGGCTTAAGGATTTATAAAAAAGATTCTTGTTGTTTCACTTGGAAATTCACGTGTGAGGTGTTTTTAGAATTTTTGACTGGAGATGATCTAGTCCCTTCTGCTTGAGTGCTCTGAAAGTAGCTGCCTTTTCCTTTTTCAGACTACCCTTGCCTTTGCCCTGGTGTTTCATTACTGTCCTAATTGCTGAGGAAAATGATCATTTAGCTTAGAGATAGTGCTAAGCAATAAAATCTCTTTGGCTAAATTACTTGCATAAGAACAAAAAAAAGTAAAGCTGTATTCAGTGAGGATGAATGTAAGATTAAAATATAAAGAGATTTTACTGCTTTTTCTGATTGAAACGTTCTAGTTTTGACTTCACTTCTGGTGTTCTCACTTTTATTCCTGTATTTCCTGATCTCTAAGATGTAATGTTCTTTGTTGATCCACCCTTTATCCATTTCTTTTATGCTAGCTATTTAGTCAGTACTCTCCTGTTGAAACTTGTTTGTTGACATCGGTGTTCGTTCTGATGAACTGGTTTTGTCTCTTTTGTTTTGGCAGTTTAGCATCTATCAAAGACTTGCTCCAGTCTGTTACCTGCCCTACTTTTACTTGGGGGTTGCTGCATGTGGAAGTTATTTTAAGTGTACTCTGTGGCAAAGTTGCTGTGTTTTCATGATATAGATTTTGGCAATTGCAAAGGTAGCCTTAAAATCTGACATCGATTTGATGTAGCAAATGTGTATTGGCAAATATATACTAAATCAGTTTGACTTAAAATATGGTAACAGTCAACAATTTGATGATGGGGGGAAAAATCATTATTTTAATATCTGAACAGCTGGATCAAAATGGAAAAGAGTCTTTCCATATTGCTAGAAAAGAAAAAAAACAGAGAATTCTACTTCTGAGCAGGGTTTCCAAGCTCTGCTACACATATATCAGGAGTCTGATCCCATTATAGTAGTGGACTTTTATGTTTGCTTCCACTTATTAAAATTTGCTTTGAGATTCATATGTGGGTTGTTCTTCAGTAGTTGCTTTGGATTGCCTTTACTAAGATAAGCCTAACTGTTGGTTCAATTAAAAAATTAACTACAATAAAACTGAATGGATGAATTAACTCTTATTTTAGCACGATAGAAAGCTAAAGAAGTGTGACCCAAGTTAAATAATGGTTAGTACCATGATGTACTAAAATTTGCAATTATACTAAAACTTTTATCTAAAGACTTCAAGTCATTCTGAAGATGGCTGAACAGCTGCCATTCCCATTTTACACGTGGGGAATCTAAACCACAAAGCAGTTAGTGGCTAGCACAACACAGTGCTGTGAGCCAACAACTGGCTCTGTTCTCCTCTGTGTCTGGGATTCCTCAATATAAAAATTATGGTGTATCTCCTAAATCCAGTTTTCAGGCGTTTTAAATACATGTCAGTTTTCCAGAATGAACCAGTCCTCAGAACCTCCCTTTTGAGGTCTTGGAAAATTAGAATCCTTCTTCAGGCTACATCTGCAGCGCTGACTGCGTCTCTCAGGGAGTGAGGGCCTGGGGGGATAAATGGTGCAGAGGGTTTGTGCTCATGGTGCTCGGGTACAGCATGTTTTTAGAGCAGACCGTCTCTCTCCGTACAAGATAGCGCCTGGTCCCCGTGACTTTTTTGTCCCATATGATGCCCTTGCGACCTTAGATGTAACAATTATTTTTGTCTTGTTTTGGTTTTGGTCCAAAATACCTGAAATTATAATATGATGGCCATGTTGCGTCCCATCACAGTATTTTTTTATATAGCATGTGTTGCATATGCTGGCATATAGCTCAGGGTGTATTGAGGTGTTTGAGCGTGAAGCCTTCTGGAATAGCGCTGGAGAACTGCACAGAGCAGAGACAAACCTCAAGCAGTTTTGTCTGTTACCTTCTTTGGGAGTTGGTCTTTATCTGTTGTTTCGATTTGGAGGGAAGTTGTTTATTTACCCCCTAAAGAGAGCTTGAAAGTAAGCTAACATGTATGTTGTTTGGACAGTCAGGGGAACAGGGAATGGCAGATACCAGACAAGTCCCAGAAGAGACTGAATTTAGACAGCAGATTTTTGAAAGCCTTGGCAGCTGTATTCTCCTTTTGCCAAGTCTGCGCTTCAGCCATACTGCTTTTCCAAACAGCTGTGGGTGACAGCTACTGATCTGCTGTGATAAAACTGGAACCATCTGTTCTTGGAAAAATAAAATGGCATGGCACTAGTATTTGTGTGCCACAGTAAGCTCTTGTGTGTCCCCAGCAGAAGAGACTGCAGCAGAAACATCTGCCAATGCCTTGACAGCACCAGAAGGAAAGTGAAAGTCTGTTGGGAACTAGTAGTGAAGCAATAAGGCACAGGAGAAGAGGATGAGTGTTGACCGAAAGAAACACCTGAGCCATTGGGACTGCGAAAGCTCTGCATCAGAGCCCGTTCTGAGGTTCTCCGTGGAGTCCCAGCTGTAACGTGGTCATGCCTGGCTGGCACTGGCGTTCTTGTCTCGGTTCATCCTGACCTGGTTGCCTGTCATTGGGGAGCTGCAGTTTTGCAGCTCCTGAACGTGTATTGGTGAATCAGCTGTCGAGTGTAGGATGACATAACTTTTTGCTAGAACCTCATTTTTAGTCTGTGTTAATAATTACTTGGACCTGAGTAATTATTGCAAACTTCCTAGGGGCCTTTCCTAGCTCGGTCATTATTTTCATGGAGTATATTCTTTGTGGCGATACAGCGCCACGACTGCTGGAGCTGTAGTAGTCTCGTTATTTCCACAGGTGAGCTAAAGTGTGACAGCTCTACAGCCTTCTCTGTGCTGAAGTGTTGCCCCTTAAAGTAATATGTTAAAGTAATATGACCATTTATGTGGACTTATCTCTAAATGTACTGTGCTTATGTTATCCAAAGCAACAAAGGCTGTATTGGATTGGTGTAAGTAGTTTTATGCTAGCATAAAAAGGTTTCTATACCAACATCATCAAGCACCGCTAAGACAAAAGAAAGTAGTGTGATTTTCTTCCGGCTAATGTGTTTTAGTTGTAGTCTAAGACATTGTGCCCTCACCTGCGTTTCTTACTTCATGAAATAGATAATTATATTGACTCCACGGTTATTTTAGCAGTTCTGAAGTTGGCAAAATTGTCAATGAAGTTTGTAAATGGAGTGGTTTTCATATGAAGTCAATGGAAAAATATGAAAAGCGTGATCTCTTGGTGTCATTTCTACTAACCTGTTTTAGGTAAATACTAGCTTTGTCTAAATACTGCATGATTCCTTTAAGAGTTACAAGCCTTGGTGAAGATAAAATATGTTTGAATTCTTCTTGTATTTTTGATTTCCTTTAAGAGCAAGGAGAAAGAATAGTACCTCAATCATATCTTTTTTTTATTTGTCATTTTTGATCAATAATGTATAGAATAAATGCCACCAGATAGTGTGGATGCATTAAAAAAATTAAGGTGATTCTGCTTTAATTTCAAAAGAGTAAAAGAAAAAAACACCAGGAATTTGACTTTAAGCTGTGGATCTTGTTATTTGTTCTAGGAGAAAAGGCTAAAAGAAAAAGCAGCAAGGAGAGAAGCCAGGAACCAAAATGCAGAGGTAAGGATTTGTTTTGTTTTGATCAAGCTTGAAACTGCTTTTCAATGACTACGTTCCTAGAATAAACCATGATTTAGTTAATAACTCGTTAAAAATGTTTTCTGTTTCCTTTTTCTTTTTTATTCCCTTACTTTGATCTGATTATAATGACTAATGGTGGAGAGAGATGTAATAAGCATATATATATATGTTTTTGCCCAGTAACACTAAGATGCTTATTTTATTTTTATTTTTTCCTTTTGAATTTCATCCTTTGCTTAGAGGAGCCTTCTGAAATTGCAGTCTCTTTATTATGTATGTCAAATGAGTTGCAATTTCAGCGGCGGTGTGCATGCCATTTTTTTCTGAATGCTTGGGCATGTACATAACTTGCTACAACATTGCAGGCAAAAATGATTTTTGGTGAAATCTCATTTAAACCTATTTCTACTGAACATTTTCTTTAAACAGCAAGTGTTTACATTCAAGCTTATTCCTCTCCCCTGGTTAGGCCCCCATACAAACCCTTTGCAATCCCTTGCAGTGTCAGTACATTGCTAGTTTTCTGGTTGCTTATTTAGTTGTTCATATTACTTGGTTTATGATAAACTGAAATTTCATTTAACTGCAGTGCTTTACGAGTAGTTAGAATTTGTTCTTGGCAGTTAGCAAAGTTCTTACTCCCTTGAATAAACCCATAATGTTCTGTGTCAGATTTTTCCTAGCTGGCCATGGACTGAGAGACTTAAGTATAGGAAGATAACTCATACTGTAGTTCTGAAGTGGAAAGTAATTACAGCTGAATGAAAAGATGAAAAGCCTAGTTATACTAAGTATTAAGTATGATTCTGTCTTCAAAGATGGCAAGCTATGAGAGCTGTTGGCATCATGACTCCCCAGTCAAGCAATAGCAATGCTCTGAATGTATAGAAAATGCATAATTTTTAATGTATTGAGCAAACATTTAGGAAAATTGTGGAATGAATGATTAACAAATGTCTTAATATAGGGAGAAAATAGCGATCAAATCAGGCTGTATCACATTCACAAATGTTTAGCAGCTTGTTAATTTCACCTCTTTTTAAGGATAAAAAAAAATCCCAGTGTCATATTATAGAGCCGCTGGAGAAGTAAACCTCTCCCTTTGAAAGGAATCTGTTTAGTTACCTGCTTACCCGTCCTACTCTTTGCTAATCAAATTAATCCCTCTTTACTATTTGAAAATGAATTAGGTTGGTTTCTATTACAGAATTATCTGTCTTTGTTCTGTGAGCGTGTACGTGCATATAGTATGCGTTAAGAGCAGAGCCTCACCCTAAGAGTCGTATACAATAAAAATGCAATCTGCTATCGCCCTTTTCGCCCTTCTGTGCAGCGCTTGCACTTTGAATTCTGTCTGTCAGATTTACGAGTCCTGTTTCAGTGCGAGAATGGCAAACTCTTTTTCAGAGCGCACCATGTAAATCTGTTATTACTTTGACTTAGTTCTCTTCCCGAACTGCTTATCTCGCTCCGTGCAAGATGCATGAGCTTGTGAGGCTTGTGACTCCTCTGCGCAGTGAAAGCGGCGGGGCGTTTTGTTTGGAGGCTATTTTTGCCGGAGCTCTGTCACCTTCGCTGCGGCTCACCGGAAGGGGACGCGCTGCCCCTGGGATGGGCTGGCGGTGGGGAGCCGGCACGCGGGCCTGCAGATGCAGGGGAGCAGCACACAACAGATGAAGGTGGCGGTTTGAGGCTGCTTGGTGCCTGAGGAATTAATTAAGAACACTCCCGGCCTCAGAAAATCTTGTCGATGAAGCTACAGTAGCCGAAGCTCTCCACAGCCCATGTGGGATATGACTCAAGCAGCTTCTAGGAGGCTCTTGGGTTTCATATATGAAAAAAAAAAATTAAAACAATGAAACAGACAAAGTATTGAAACACAAATATCAGGAGTTCAGGCACTTTCACGTTTTCACTAGTGCCTTCAGAATATGGCTTGTGACCCACTTACTCTGCCACACACAATTCCTTTGGCAGTTATTTGCTACTATTATTTTCTTAAAAGGGAATGCAGTATGGAGAGACCAAAAAAAGCAGAAAAGGTGTTTTCAGCAATATTAATGCAGTTTAGCAGCTGGGGAAAAGGACTAGATCAACAGCTACAAGCAGCCCATCACTTCAAAGCAGCTGTGTTCATAATTTGTTACTCCTTCTACGTACTTTATTCCTGTTGTTTGTATTTTTATCTGCTTTTCTTTCATACATAAAATTCTTTGGGCTACAGAGTATTATTTCGCATACTATTGTTATTAATATTATTTTTATTATTATCTGTATGCGAACAGGGGATTAGATGAGTAGGTGGCTTCAGTGTTACTAACTCCACCTTGGGTGATCCCTATGTGATAGATAAACTGGTAAGAAGCGAGGACTCTTGAAGGATGCTTTAGAGATGGTATTTCCTGGAATTGATGACCATTAATTATATTTGAATGCAAAAGGCTGTGAAATCAAATAAAAGAAGTGTTTAAAAATATATATTAAAAATATAAAATATATGATGTATGTATCATAGAGAGAGAGAAGACAAACTGGAGACTTGGTCTTTTTTTTCCCCTCTCCATTACAGATATTTGATTTTCTCCTAGTTTAGGATAATTTCATAACTGCAAATATTCACTACTTGCAAATGTGGTGTTTCAATATACAGAAAGTAAATCCTTTCCCGTCACTCAGTATTGATAACATTGTGGTCCTAAAGGCCTATCGTAGTCTTTGATAAGATTTACTGTAGGCTGTTTGAAAATGGTTTTGGGAAAATTAGGTAGTCAGGTTGTATTTTGGCTAACAAACTATGCGTGATGCAATATGCAGAATATGTAAAAGTATAGGTGAATGTTTCAAGGCAATAGCTGGCATATTATAAAGGCTGGGAAGCTTTTTATAACACCACCCCTAGTCTGAAGCAGAGCCAGCTCCTCTGTCTTGCACCCTGAGCTGGGAGTGCTGACAGTGCTGTGCAGGGGCGGTGGCGTGACTCCGTGTACAATAGCGCTCACTGGCGTTAGTTTGGCCTAGAATGAGCCTGTCGTGCTCCTGCACGTGGCTGGAGGTGGCATTTCAGCTAGGAGAGGAAGAGCAAGGAAGTGACACTGGTGGGTGCTGCTGCTCTCATTGCCTCTACACAGCATCCCTCGCTGCTCCCGCGTGCCTTTGGGCTCATGTGAAGGGTTATGGAAATGCAGGGAGCCTGGCTGGGTGCAGGCCAGCAGCTGAGATGATAAGGTCTTGTGAACCATTGCTCTCTAGGGAGCTTGTTATCCATATTTCCAGGTAGCCCAGTCCCCCCTTGCCCCAGTAACCAAGGGCTGATTGTGGTGCACGTTACCAGAAGCAAGAACAAAGTCAAATTTCTGTAATCTATCACATACTTATTTCTTGATATAAATAATTAAAGGACATTTAAATCTCATTTGAAATATAAAATAGAGGTCGAAGCTGCAATGAAGCTAAACATGACTCTATTTCTCATTTAGTGAGTTTAGTGTTTTGCTGTTCTGTGCCTTAGAGCAGTTCTGATGAGTTAAGAATTCTAAAGTGAGGAAGGGTTTTTTATTTTTAAGAAAATTACTTTTCCAGTAAAGGTGTTTTCCAGAAGCATTTGAAGAGGTCTGTGCAATGGGAGGGCGACTAGAGCAGGAGTCAGGATAAGGTGCTTTTTCCAGCTCCAACACTGATTTACTTTGGGATCCTCAGCTGTGAACATCCAACATCATTGAAAAAATAACTGTATCCTAGAGGACATCAGCATCTGCTAGAAAAAGTTCAGGCAGTGTCTGTAAGCAGTGCCGGGAGATAAATTTTGCTCAGTCATGACAGTTTGATGGATCAACTCAGCCATTGACAGTCCTGTAGCAATTGCGAGAGGGGAAGTGTTTGTGTACTAGGTATTAAGATAAAAGTAAAGCGCAATTTAGCTATCTTCCTATACCTGTCTTCTTGAACCTACCGCTATTCAGTCATTCTGAGAGTAACCTTCCCAAGCATTTGATGTTTTAGGAGTTTACAGCATAAATCATGTAGACTGGTTGTGTAGCAGTTGTCATCTGTCTAGTTGCTTAATAAAATCTTTGAGTGTTGTGGGTTTGACAGTGGGTGGTGATAGTAACTTCTGTTTATGTTTGACCCTCGGTTCCTGTGCCGTGCAGGCTCGATAAGATGATCAGTGTACCAAAGCTTTATACTTTATGACTTCATATTTTGTGAGCTTATTTTCCTCTTTGAGTTATTGCATCAATCACTTTATTCATTATTTTCTTAGGGTTGCAGTCTTAAAAGAGTCAAACACCATAGAAAACTGATTGTGTTGCATGTTATAAAAGTAATGTAGCTCTCCTGGGTAATTTGCAAATCGCTTGTATTTGTCAGTATGGATTACTTGCTTTATGGCAGGATGCAGGCTTTTGATAGGATTTGCCCAGTGCTATTATCCAAAGCAAAACAGAAAAATCTGAAAAGGGACAGACTGGCAGATCAGAGACTCCAAGGTCCATAAGAAAAACGTAGTCTGCTAAAAACCTAGGGAAATCCAGCTTGAACACATACTCCTTGGTGAGAGCGTTTTTCTTCTTAGAAAAGAATGAAGAGGACAAAGCAATGGAATAAAGTGGAGGGTTGGGAATGTTATCAGGCCAGAGAACTGACTTCCTCCTCTGAGTACTAAGAGAGATCCAAGCACTCTGTCTTCAGAGGCGCTTTTCATAGGATTGAATTCTTGCTGAATAATTGTAGAGCATTAAAAGATCAACAGCAGCATCAGTATAATAAATATGCTTTAACTTTTTCTCATCCCCTGCCCCCAACATACTTTTCTACTCCCAGAGGAATTACTACCGGAGTATGACATTTTATATATTTTATAAAATGTATATTTAATATACACACGCATATAGGTACATAGTTTAAGATTATCACAAAGTAAAAATGAAGTTAGGAATCTTGGTACTCTCTGTTATGACGTGTCTTACATGAGCACATTT